AAAAAAAAAAAAAAAAAAAAAAGAGGTGAAAGGTGGCTATTTACTTCTTGAACTTTTTCACTTGCAGTTCAGATTCATATCAGATGACTCATTTTAGGAAGCTAACCTTAAAGAACATTGTTTTTATTGTTTTGTCTTACCCTCACAAAACAGTCATGAAAATGCATTCTTAGAAGTCCAGCAGCAATTCCTGGGTCGTTCTCGATTGCCTTTGTAACTTCTTCTCTCACAACAAACTCGACGTTGGGACATGAAGTAGCATAATATTCAAAACGTAGCTTTTGATCAGTTTCTGATAATACAAAGATACACAGGAACAAAGGCATTATTATTAATGAAACAAGTGCTTTAAGCAGCTTACTACAACTCATTTTTTTCGAGAATTGGGTGCTGCATTCAAGTCGGCTCCCAGGGCAGGGGACCTATTTATAGAAACAAAAATCTATGTTAGAAATCACTTTGTTAAGCTACGTACCCATCAATACGGCAATAATTAGTACTCTTTTTAAGCTGTTTAATCAAACACATTTTTTTGAATTTGCAGGTAGCTTTAGATTTTTCAATATTCTTTTTTTTTTAAAAAAAAAAATTAAATTATTTTGGTTCCTCAAATAACCAGTTTAACCATATTATTTTTAGGGACGCCACCCTAAAAAGGCAATCACACTTTTAAGTAGTGTTAGATTAGATATATATATAGAAATATAGATTAAAGTTTATCAAATATAAAGATAATAAATATAATTAATTTGCAGCGACGGATCCACAAATTTTCAAGAGCTAGGGCAAAAATAGTTTGAAATTTTTTTTAACCATATAGCACAAAGTACTTATATTAACAATTAACTAAATTGTTAAAATAATATGGTGTTGAGGGGTTCCCTATTTAATTTACCTTTGACTTGCTAAAAAATAAAATTGAGAATGAGGTATGGTTATTTTATTTTGCGTTGTCATTATTATTAAGAAATATACCCAAAATATTTTACAATCTTTTTTCCTTCATTTTTTAGTATAACAAGAAATAAACAAGTCATTTTGAAATATAATTTATTAACTTAAGAAAAGCGTAATCATCGTTTTTGTTCATGTTATTTTATAAAGATTTTGTTATGGATTATCTTCTTATAAATATATGTAGAGTTTTTCATTGTCAATTTCCAACGCTTTGTAATTCTATATGTTAATTCCTAAGAATCCGAAATAGTCCATACAAATATTGATCTTTATCCTGAATTTTTAAAGTTAAACGCTTGGGTAACTCAAATTGTAAATATATTTTACAAGTCAATAACATTTGTATATTTTATAATCTTTATATATGATAACATAAATTAGTCATATTTTGACAATATATTTGATGTTCATATTTTATAGGTAAATTAAAATAACTATATATATCCGATTTCTACCAGTAAATCTTTAAATATTTATCAATTATAGTTGAAAAACAATACATTTATCTATCAAACTTATTATATGGCAATAGTATTAAAAATATTAGGATTCGAGATGGAGAGATTGAAATTTAAAATAGTTCTATAATGTAATATCCTCGAATCTGACCGATGAGGTGTATCAATATAAATAAAAACAATAATGTTATTTTGTAAAAATTATTTAGAATTTAAAAATAGAAACTCGTATTTATATTTTTACACATATTAAATATAAATTTTGATTAGCACATATTAAATATGTTAGCACAAAAAATTGAGCCTAGGCAATTGCCTAGGCTCGCCTATACTTGTGTCCGCCCTTGTTAATTTGTACTTTTTTTTCCAGAGCTTTATCATAATCGTAAGAAATGATAATTAATTAAATATGCATAAATTAGTTAGAAAGGTTATTAGAATCACAATGTCTAGAAAAAAACGAGTAGTGTTGTAGAAATATTGATTATATTTTACAAAATATAAATAATTAATAATAATAATAATAATAATAATAATAATTATTATTATTATTATTATTATTATTAATTTGTACTTTGGTAGTTCAAGAACTTATCATACTCTTTCATTATTAAATATGCATAAAGTATAGCTTATTATTAGAATCATCTTAAAATTTGATCTCCCAGAAAACTATATATTCATTCTTTTTTGTTTGTATGCTCTTTTTAGTTTGAGGAAAGTTAGTGAGCCCCCCAAAAATAATTAAATAAATAAATGATTAATTAGTTGAAAGCATACCACAAATACGCATGCTTAGTTATAAATGATGGCCCCTCAACATAGGTTTAATATTTTCATGCAAGAAATGATTAAACGAAGTCTTCTCTTTTATTGACTTATATAGGTACGTACACGATTATGGTTAAAAAGGGCAAATCACTGCTCAGACTAATTAACACCTTAATCATTCATTAGATCAATCTCAATTATATTAATTGGATTTATGTTTGGCGGTTTTGCTATGAAGTCAACAGTTGGCTTCATAGTGGAGCCAACTTTTTATATACAACAAGTAAACCTATCATATTCTCTTATTACTTAATCAACACTAATATAATTTTATTAATATGATAGGTTTATTTGTTGTATATAGAAAGTCGCTCTACTATGAAGCCAATTGTTGGCTTCATAGCAAAACCGTTATGTTTGATTACAATCACAAAGCAATTAGTTGATGTCAGCGTGTAAACGGATGCTGATTTATCTTTCATATAATGTCAGTGTGGAATTATGATTACTACTAGTATTCGACTAAGCATTTGCACAGATGTGAATAAAATATTATAAGTTATTTGTATGCATATAATATTAAAATTATAAGTTAGATAATAATATTATATTTTAAACATAAAGTATTATAAGTTAGATAATGCTATATTTATGTTTTAA